TATGAATATGAACCTAATATGAGTACTATCTAATAATTTTTATTCAAGCTAATTGTGGTTTAATTTCATTTACTTACAATATTTAATCTATATTCCTTATGAATACATGTTCAAGATTCAAGATTTATTTGACTACGTTTACAAATTTTACATTTGTTTGTAGCAAGTCAATTATATGACATATACATTGTAAAGTAAAAAATATAATATATAATATACACAAAATACAATAGATAAAAATACATTATTGCACATAACATGGAATAAAACATAAAATATACAAAATAAGACATATACCAACATAGTGAGTACATCCATGTTCATGTTACTGCCTTGAAGTGATCAAAATATTCACTAACAGAGTAAAAAGCAAATCTCAAAAGGTATCTTTTTAGACTAACTTTAAATTTATTCATAGAAAGTTGTTTTAAATCTTTAGGTAGGACATTGTATATATTATAGTCAATTAAGTTTTTCTGAGATTTACTCAAACGATATTTAACTATTCTGATGTTATTTGCACCTCTTGTACTATAGTTATGTAAGTCAGAGTGTTTAATTAAAGTATTTGCGTTTTTATGTATTTCAAGATTAACACTGTATATCCATAATGTTGGCAATGGCATTATCTTATATTTAATAAATAACGGTTTGCAAGATTCCAAGTAGCTAACTTTTGCAATTATTCTTATTGCTTTTTTTGCTTATCAAATCTTCTGATTGATTTCTAAGAGCCCAGATATGTGAAGGTATATACCTATTCAATAGTATATATATATATATATATATATATATATATATATATATATATATATAGTTTTTGTTTCGTTTATTTTACCCCTTTTATGTAAAAGGGATCAGGATCAATTTCTTTGAACGTTTCCATTAGTTATATCTTGCTTCTACTAATAATGGCACCATCGCCTGCATATGTAGTAATTTGTACTATTTAGTTGTTTATATGCCCGATTACATTGGTTTTTCTGATGACTGCTTCAAGAACTAGGTTAAAAAGCATGGTTGAAAGTGCGTCTCCCTGTCTCACCCCCATTTTGATGTCAAACAGGGCAGATCGTTCTCCATCTACATTAACTGCGGCTTTTGAACCCTGCAACGCCATTTTTATGGGGCTGATATATTTTTTTGGTATACCTAGATTTCGGAGGTCTTCCAGCATTTTGTTTCTTTTTACACTATCAAAAGATTTTTTAAAGTCTACAGATTGAACGAAATAAATTCGGAACATAGGAATATAATGTATTTCGGCTCAATTCTGCTGTAGGTGGTTGGCCAACAAAATATTGTCAAATAATTATATTATAAAAATTCAATACTTCAGCGGGCTGCTGGATTCTGAACTCATAAAAATTGAAAGCTACACATAAATCTACGATTTATGCTGTCAAACCAGTTATAGTCCAGGAAATGAAGCATTTCAGCTCGCAATTTTTTCGTGCTCCCTGGATTGACTTGAAATTTAACAGAAGGTAGGTAATAGCCTAAGGATCAAAATCTATATCGAACCAAAGTGCGCCAAAGCCTAGGGGGTGGTTGCCACCCCATCTCCGGGATGAAAATTTTTTTACGTTTTAACTACAGGTTTCGATTAAAAAAGTGATTCTAAACAAAAAATGTGCTATACATTTTTTTTATAAAATGATATTTTTCAAGTTATCCGCGATTGAAAGTAATAACTTTTAGACGAAAAAATCCACGTTTTTAATCGATTTTTCGCGAATAATTCGAAAATGGTGCATTTTATCAAAAAAATTGTAGAGAACAAATTTGTAGCTTTTAAAAAGACAAATACAATTCATTTTTTAAAATGTTTTTGGGATATAATAGGAACCGAAATACGGCCTATCAATGTTCAGCGGTTTTCTTCAAATGCCAAATTTGAAAGATTCAAAATCAAATATCGGGAAAATGATGCATTTTTGGAAGAAAACTCACAAAACCTTTTTTAAAGAGCATAAATAGACCTATCATAAAAAAGACTCTAGCTCAAAAATTGAGTGAGTTATGATGAAAATAAGGTCAATACCTCATTTTTTACGAAAAAATCGAAACAACACCCTAACCTCCTCCATAATTAAAATCGATCTTTACCCTTCTGAAATTCCCTTTGTACATGTATTGTTAATACGTCCAAGAAGTTTGACCCATTTAAAACGCTTTGTGTTAGAAAAAGTACAGCTTAGCGAGAAACGATTTACAATTTCATATTTTTTACCCTTCTTTTTCTAAATATGCCCGAAAATACTGAATATATGAAAAAAATACAAATTACCAAATTGTAGCTTTTTTAATGACTAAAATTATCCTTCATTTAGATTTGTTGTACAATGAATATTTGGCGAGATATAGCCGTTTAAAGCATCGATTTACGATGAAGCACCATCTTTTTCGAGCCCTTTAAACTCACCCCATTTAAAAACCAAGGGTTCCAAAAAGATTTAATTCACAGATCCTTGTAGCTCTTAAAAACTTCTACAAATCGTTTTTGAAGAAACACTCTATCGTTTAAAATTAAAAGAAATACGTTAAAAAAACCAGTGAATTTTTTTCCGGAAAATTCTATTAGTATAGTACAGTACATTTCGGAGCATAATAATCTACAAAACCGGTATATTAGCTAGTGGGGCGTTATACATTCGAAATTTTAAGCGTTCTTATTTTGAAATCCCATACAACAGAATAAAACATCTGCTCATATGTCTATGGCTTGGCAATGAAAATATTAGAGCAACAGATTGGGGATGGTATTCCAAAGATGGTTTGTTATTACCCGTACGCATGAACAAACAACCTGCACTCGATAAACTTTTGAAAATTATTTTTTGGCAATGCAAAAAAGGATGCGATGTTTCATGTGGGTGCAGAAAAGTTGGTTTATACTGTAACTCTACTTGTTCTGGGTGCTCAGGTGAAGGGTGCAATAATAGTCCACCAATAATTCAAAATGAGGATGACATAGATCACGATGAAGATGTAATTGATGACGAATAAAATTAATATTATAATTGTTTTACCTATAAATGTAAATATTTTCTACTATTTATGTAAATGTATAAGAATATATGGTGCCTTTTTATGTTGATAAATTTTTTTGTATTTAATTCTACTTTTTTCAATTTATATCTTATAAATTAGTTTATAAAAACTGCAATGTTGTAAAGGGTGATTTTCAAAAGTTGAAAAGTTGCAAAATTTTGGCAAAAAATTGTTTTTACCTATAGCACTCATAACAATTGATTTTTAAGGGTTGAAAATGTATGAATTTGTATTTTAAAGTATAAAAAAATCAATATTTAACTAATCCAAACCAAATTTCACTCATCTTAAGATTTATAATATTATTTTACAATTTTTGAAAATTAGGGGTAGTTTTCATCCCTAAGAACAATCAGGGTTCATCGGCATGACATAAACTATAAAGCAGAGGGTGAGTTGAGCCTAAGTCCGAAATTTTTATGCAAATCGTTCCAAGGTGAAATCATTTTCTTCGCATTACTAATTTTTTTATATTAATCTCTAATAAGGGTCGCTTTTTAAGGGTTGAAATATGATAGAACTTTATTCAAAAGCACGAAACTATCATTATTTAATTAATTCTAACCAAATTTTACCCATATTCAGGTTTAATATGTTATTTTATAATTTTTGACAATTACGGGTAGTTTTTCACCCCTTAGAACAATCAGGGTTCGTCGACATGACATAAACTATAAAGCAGCGGGTGAATTGAGCTTAAATCCAAATTTTTATCCAAATCGATCCAAGGCGAAATCATTTTTTTAGAATTAGTAATTTTTTTACATTAACCTCTAAGAAGGGTTGCTTTTTAAGGGTTGAAATATGATGGAACTCTATTCAAAAGTATAAAATAATCATTATTTAACTAATTCAAACCAAATCTTACCCATATTCAGGTTTAATATGTTATTTTATAATTTTTGACAATTAGGGGTAGTTTTCACCCCTAAAACCCTTCAGCGCACTTCGGTTCGATATAAATTTTGATCCTTGGGCTATCACCTACCTTCTGTTAAAATTTCAACTGGATACATGCAGGACGAAAAAATTGCGAGGTTTTAACTTTTTTCGAGATTCATTTCCTGAACTATTATCGTTTTCTTAGACAAACCCGTCTTACGCAAACAACATTGTTGTGAGACAGATAGTTGAACGATATTTTATACAATGTCTATACCCAGGTATGGATTTATTTTTGTCCAAGTTTTATATTGGTCCACTATTTCAAATGCAGTTCAAACAGACATGTATTAAATTGTATGTTCCGTTTTAATTTGGTTCAATCTGTATATACGTATTATATAGTTCTATATCGTATTCTTAAGATTTCTCTTGTATTATTCTAAGTATAAATATGTTGTCTGTAGTGGCTCTATTTGGTCTGAATCCATTTTGATAATCACCAATTATATTTTTGGAGTATTCTGACAATCTAGTGTAGATGAAAAAATGCGATCCAATTGACCTTATTACAACTACGCCTAGATTATGTTTTTAAAAACTATCGGCGTTATTTGCTTATTTCGGCGGTTCCTTTGAGATAAGCCGCTTTTGCTCCAGTAGGAATATATAAGTGAATATATATTTCAAAAGTTACTAAAGGTGTTTAAATGCATTTGAGACTATTTGATGTCATTTAAAATTTTGTTTTAAATTTTTATTTTAAATTTTTCTATGGAGTGACTATTCAAAAGAAAGAAGGCGTATTTGGTATTATAGTAATGATTTATCAAAAAAAAAACATAATTAGCCAAGGTTTGTCTAATTACGTTTGTTTTTGATAAATCATTACTATAAATCAATGTAAAGGGCACTGGTCGAGATTTGTAAATTAAACAAAAGCATATTAGTTAGCCATAAACTACAACGAATATTTCCTTAAATAAAAAAATCACAATATAAAACTTTTATCTAGCAAAAATTTTAATTTTATTACACGATAAACATTTTTTTTAGAAATTACCATGAAAAGCCTGCAATGGATTCTGCTTGCAATTTGTTTTGGTTCAATAAATTGCAGCACAAATACTCTGGCAATTGAACAACAGGTTTTAACCAATGGAAATGCCATTACAAAACAACTTAACGAAAACAAACAAATTATTTTATTATATCGAAACTTCAAGGTAAGTGATATTCCTGAAACTATACCCCTTTTAACATAAGTATAGATTATAGATCTAATTCCTTATAGATGCAGAATCTTTTTGAAATGACGACATTTTGAGTGGGAAGTATATAAACATAGTTTCTTGTCGGCGAACAAATAAATAAAAAAAACTACTAACAAAAAAAGCGCAAGCCAACAAAAAACTAAGAAAAACTCCCAAACCTGGACATGAAGGATCCACATCCTCAAACACCGACTTCACTTGATCGGTTGTAACACTTAGGCTGATAGTTGTGCCCTTCGAGCATCGGTGCTATAGGGATGAGATGGATAATCGGGGGCATTGGAGCGCGGTAAAGTGGTTCCTGTTTACACGAATTAATACACCTCGCTCCAATGAATTGATGAACCTAAATCTAATTCAAATGATGCACAAGTCTCACAAGCTGGGTTAAATCAAATTGCTTGCTTGCTTGAAACCGTTTCAAACCGAGGAATAGCTGTAACCAGATCTATGAGGAAAATATATAGACTAGAGCATTTATGAAAAAATCAATCGATTTTTAAATGCAACACCTATTAACTCGACGGTAAAAATTCGATATCTTTTATTTAGAATGTCCCATCAACAACAATCAAAATGCATTTTAAAGGTGAAGAGTGGGGCTTTTGCAATCTTTGCATTTCACCGCAAATGAAATCAATTTCTATAAAACTGTCAAACATTAAATTAAATTTAATTGTTTTTAGTCGATGAACCCCTACCGGATAATCACATCTTCCAGCAACGCTAAGAAGGAATTTCCCGTTTTGATTGTGGCTGAACAGCGAACTCAAGTGACAGCATGGTCTATTCCGATGCTTATCGAATCTGCTAAACCGGGAGAAGAGTACTCATATAACATGTCCTCTAAAACATTATGCCATGACTACATGAATATTATAACTCTTTCTCCAGGTAAGGTTTTTATCTTTTAAAAAGGTTTTAAATTTATCAGGTTTTGAGAATGCTTGTTTTGTTAAACTGAAAGAAGGAAAATGGAACATTACTTATATTTTTTGGAATCGATGATGGACTACAATACATACCATTTCCTAATTGTGCACAAAATTCGTATCATTTAGGATCCTTCAATTATCGCTCTATAGATCTCACAGTTGGTGCTTTCGCCTTGCTTATAAATTTGTTTAAAAAGGTTGCTTAGGGTAGGTTTAGATGATGTTCCAATCTTTTGGTATTTTATTTTCCTTCAATGCTTTATTAAATATAATCCAGAACCAGTCTATGGCTTCCACGCCCATCAATTTCATCATTTCTGGTTCTATCCTACCTTCCTCCCTAGATTTCCCGTTTTGAATTCTTTTAGTTTTTTGATTAATTCTCTTTTTTCTACTCTCCACATCTTGTTCTGTTTTTCCATTGAGCTTGGCGTGTCCTTTGAGTTCAGGCATGTACCTTTTCTCTAATTTAAATTTACTGGTGTAATACTCTTTCCAGTTTCCAGACATTTCGTGTAGTTTATGTTGTATCTTATTATTTCCATCTTTTATACCTTATTTTTGTGTTCTCTTTAGCCCTCTATGCTTTGAACTTATTCCATACTGTCATTTTTATAACCTTCATTTAAGTTGTTTCCAAATTTTTTACAGGATTTTTGTTTCGCATCTCTTACTGACTTTTTGAACTTTTTTAATTCCTGGGTTTTCTATCTATCTTTATAAGGATTTTTACAGCTGTCGCCGCCTTCCTTTTTCAGCCAACGTCTCCAGTACTTTCTTTTCTGCCATTCTTCATCTCTAAGGTCTCGTCTTTCCATGGCCTCGTCCACTTCATCCCTCCATGATCTTCGGGGTCTACCTCTTTTCCTCCTTCCTATTGGGCTCCAATCCGAAATCTTTGCTATCCACCTTGTATGATCTGTTCTTCTCACATGTCCATACCAAATTAAATGTTTTTCTTCGATGTAGCTGAGTATGTCTTGTTCTACTGCCATTCTTCGTTTTATCTCCTCATTTCTGATGCGATCTATTTTTGTCACTCTGCAGCTTCTTCTCATGAACTCCATTTCAGTTGCTGTGATTTTGGACTTGTTTCGTTTATTTGTTACCAAATTCTCTGCTCCATAGGTCATTATATTGCGTACCAAGGAGTTATAAATTCTTTTCTTTGAATTCCTGGTAATCTGTCTATCCCACAGTACCCCGTTCATTTGTTTAATACATGTTCTTGTCTGTGCTAATCTGCTGGTTATCTCTTGCTGGGTGGTTTCATTTTTTTAGAGTATGAATCCTAAATATTTAATTTTTTCAGTGCCGTTAATTTCCCCATTATCGTTCATTTCCAAGTTTCTCACTGGTTCTTGCTCTGTTGTTAAATATTCGGTCTTTTCTAGGTTTATTTCCACTCCATTTTTTGTGTATTCCTTTTCTAATTTTCGGAGCATATAGCACAGATCTTCTTCATCTTGCGCCGTTACCACTTGGTCATCTGCAAAGCTTAATGTGTACAAGAAGTAGTCCCGGATTGGTATTCCCATCCCTTCACATTCCTGAGTTTTCGGTATCTCATAAATACCAGTATTATTGTTGGCACAATATTGGTCTTTTTATGTAAATCATCTCCAATATACTTATTTTGTTCTATTCTGTTATTTTTCTAAAATGTGTACATTTTAAGAATAAAAAAGAATGGTTATTTTCTAGAGAATACTTAGCTAAAGTATTTAATTTGTTGGTTTCTACACCATGTTTGTGTGCAACAATCCTTCTATGTAGATATTTGCGTGTTTGTCCAATATATATTAAGTTAAAATCTTTATAATTTAAATCATGAATGTGTTGCTTGTGTGAGTCAATTTCAAATAGGTAAAAGAAATAGTAGATAAGACTTACCTACAGAAATAATCATTCTGTAATAATTTCATAATTTACCGCTGGGAAAAACACAGCGTGTTGGGAGTAAATTTATCGAAAGAGCATTTCATCGAATTCCAGCCCCAAAAACTTTCTTTCAACAATTAAATTAACTTTAAATTAACAAAAATACCTAAAATATCCAAATTTATAAACTAATCCACAATATGTTCTAGGAGTATTACTACGCCCTTTATATTTCCAACAAAATTTCATAGTGGCTTTGTCAACGGCGAGTCCAACCAATATAAATGTAACTGTGGAATTACAAGAAGAAAAGATCTTTTACCTAAAACAAGATACAAACTACAACATATCCGTAGGACCCAGTGAGCCAAGATATGCTTATTTCAGATTCGAAAAGGACACTGCTGACACGGTCGTCATCGAAGTGGATTCAGAAGACGAACTTTGTCTTACAATTTCCGTTCAGGACAGCAAGGTACTATTTTCTTTGATAATTTTTTTCCAAAGAAAAAAATCTTTATTTTTTCAGAACATTTATTACTGGGTTTTCTTATTACTTATTAGGGTAGAAGATTAGGTAGAATTGATCCTTTTCTTATTACCTTATTAGGTGGATTTAGCTCCCCCCGTGGCTAATATTATTTGTCTTCATTTTTGATCAAGGTTTCTGAGTTTCACAGTATATCACTGTGTTAGGGCAATACCCTGATTCTGGATATCTACCGTTTTTTAATTCTTTTATAACTTTTTATTTCTATAACTTCTATCAATATTTTTATTTTTTTCAATGCTGTTTACTTCCAATGATAATTTAGTAAAAATTCATTCTTGATCTCTTTTAGTAATTCCCAGTAATATTTTATCCATTTTTTCTAGATATTAGTTATATTTGTGCTTTTTCTTTTATTAGATTTTACTAGAAAATTTTTATGTACCTGTATTTTTTGGATTCTATTCATTTTGTAGCAATTATTGTACATTTTTCTTTTTCTCTTTATAGTTTTTGCTATCGTTTTGAGCTACAAATGTTCATCTTTATCTCCTTCTTGTTTGTCTCTACAGTTGAGAATGTTGTGGGGAAAGCAGCTGGTTTTAAATCGATTTTAAAATTGATTTAATCAACATAAACAGAAGGTTTCGAAATTCTACAATAGATATAAAACTACTAAAAAAGAAACATTCAGGCAAAAGTAAAAACAGCTTAATAAAAATTTTGCAAACATAATTGAAAGCACTAGTAGCGTCATAGAAGATTAGTGGAAAGAAATGAAGATATTTATTACAATACTTTCGCATTAAAATCTTAAATCAAAAAGAGGAAAGAAACAAGGTGCAAGACAGATAAAATATTGTAGATGATGAAAGAGCGGAGGAAATTGAAAGGTATAAATGTCAATGAATACAAAAAGTTAAATAAGAATATATTACGGGAAATAAAGATAACAAAATAAGCATGGCTGATCGAGAAATTGAATCACTACAATGCAAGTATGGCGATTCAATATGCATAAAACGATTAATGAGGTACAAAATACAAGGAAAATGGCAATACAGGCAAATTTGTAGACATCGAAGCCCAAATTTTGACTACAATTGAAGATAATTGTAAGAAAAGATTAAAAGATGGAAAGAATATATGCAAGAATTATTTAGAGATACAATAAGAAGATAATTAATATGACAATCTAGTCATCATAGTCAATCATAGTCACAATCTATAGTCAGCAAAGAACCAACCAGATGGAAAATAGAAATTGATGACATCAGTATTGAACAAGTAATGGAAATAAAATATCTGGGAATTACATTGTCTAGCTATGGTGACCTGGACAAAGAAGTGAGAGATCAATTACAAAAAGCAAATAGACTGGTAGGATGCCTTAATAACACTATATGGTGATACAGACACATATATGAGATGAAATCAAGAATTTATAAAGCCAGTATAAGACCATTAATGACATATGCCTCAGAAACAAGACCCACACACCCATAGCGCAAAAGCGACTGGAAACGGCAGAGATGAGAGTACTGAGACGAATTGCAGGATATACGCTGAGAGATCGAAAAAGAAGTGAAAACATTAGAAGAAAATGTAACGTACAGTGTATAAATAAATAGACACAAAATAGAAAAAGAGAATGGAATAACAACATAAGCAGAATGGAGGAGACAAGAGACCTGTCTCGTCAAAATAGCAAGAGATAAGTCACCAATCGGAGAAGAAGTATCGGTCGACCAAAAGATGGAGTGACAACCTTCCATAGAGGAATTAATCAGCCAATGAACAAGCAGAATTGCTTATAAAGAGGAAGAAGAAGAAATAAAAAGACCGACTGAAACAGACAATCATAACGACCCAGAAATAACAAACAAAAAAATAACTATCTAGGTCGAGGAAATGATGTTATTATTGCTATTTTAATGTCAACTTCTATTACAACTGGTATATGTTGGCTATGTGGAAAATTTGAGAATACTGTACGTGAAGCTGCCAGTGGTTGATTGTTTTTATTTGTGGAAACAAAACATAAGTCTGGGTTGTATTCTCGCCTTCAGGCTGCAGATCGTAAAGTTCCCCGATCTTTAGCGTCAAAGACTAATTAAGTGTCAGCCTCTTTGTTTCAGTTTAGCAGAGCCTCGCCGTTTTGATTACTATGCCTATAATTCCAGAGTTTATGATGATTATTGAAGTCTTCACAGTCGGAAAAGTAGTTCGACAGGGTTGCATTCTGTCACCAGCATTATTTAATCTATAATCTGAAAACATATTGTTACGAACATGCTTTCGGCATGGCCATGTAACGGTCGCATCTCGAAGCACCGAGAAGTTTCCGGCAATATATATCGAGCGCTGTAAAATTCCACCCGTCAAATAACGAATTAGAGGTGGGACTACTCCCGAATATTCTCCAACATAATAATTTGTATATATATATATATATATATATATATATATATATATATAAGTAACGATGATTGAGGTAGTTTAGTTGATAAGATAGTACCGAACTCTTAAAGTTATAAATAAATATATTTATATAAATTCGAATCGCTCGTTTTATTTAGAAACGGTACAATATTTAGAGAAACTTTGGATGAATCAGAAGATGGTAGGTGATACCGTATTGTTGACAGATAGGGAGCAGGCGCAGGGGCTTCAAAGGATGATGGATAATGTAGAAACATGTTACACATACGACCTAAAACTAAATTGTAAGAAGATAAAAGTAATGATCATTAGTAGGAACACCAATATGAACGCCCAAATTACAATAAACGATACACCATTAGAAGGAGTGGATTTATATGCTATCTGGGTAAAAATATTATGGATAGTTGAGGTTATAGCTACGAAATAAAAACTAGTAAAACTGCCAGAAGCTTTTTTAACAGTCTTAGGAAGATCCACTGCAACTTACCTTTAAATCTCAATATACGCAGTAAGAATTCTTAGATGTTACATCTTTAGTGTCCTCATCCACTGCGTAGAAAGCTCAAGTCTTACAGAATATGCCATAAAACTGAATAGAAAGGTATTTGACCAACGTATGTTAAGGATCTCATATTATATACACCATACAAATAACATAACTATTCTCCAAAGGCTAAGAAAAGTCAAAGAAATTATTAACACCATTAAAAACAGAAAATTGCGGGCAGATTATGCGTAATAATAAATACCGACTTCTACAGTTGATTCTACAAGACAAGATTGAGGGCAAAAAAGGCCCTGGATGCAGACGTATACTCTGGCTAACCAATTTAAAAAAAATAGACTGGTCTTACGTTAACTGATCTATTTTGAGCTGCTTTGAATAGAATAAGATGGGTCAATGTGGTCACCAACATTACTAGAAGATAGGCATTTTTATAAGAAGAATATAGCTGATCAATTTGTCTCTGTGACTTCAAGCTGTGGTTTTTTTGTAGCTTAATTATATTTGTAATATTTTCGTGTATTTATTCTACAAACAAAACATTTATAAAAAATGCCAATGTTATTCCATGACTGTCACGATAGTTATCTTATTATCTGCACTATAAACAATTATTTGCATTTTAATTTACATTTTCTGTTTGACAATGGATTATGTACTTACTTACTTTATTTTATATTTCTGCTCCAATAAAAACATTATTTCCAATTTTAGTGTCCGGTTTTTGACAATAACAAAGATGTAAAATATGAAGGCATCCACCAAACGATCAATACAAAAGGTGCTATTACTTTAATGGTAAGTATTTATGATAATAATTATTTTGTAGCCTGCTAGTATGATCACTTGGCTTCAGAAAACTATTCAATAAACTTAATATATGCCATAAAATAAGAATCCAAATCTGGGTAATAGTGAAAAATAAATAAATAAATCAGTAGACAGTGGTCTAAAGTGTTACTGTTACTGTCGAATTTCTCTATCTGTTCTTCAGTGTCAGTAATCTATATACGATTACTGACACTGAAGAACAGATAGATGTATAATTGCATAATTTTTATATTGGATCTTTTTGATAGTTGTAAGGTTAAACCAGCTAATCTATCTGAGATGTTGGTTGTTTCTACTACTCTTATTGATTTGGAATCCAATACCGCCTGTTCTGCCGGTGATGTTCCTCAGTAGTAGAATGTGTTTTGTGAGGATAATTCCAATATCTCTTCATCTCTCCGGCTTACTTCTCTGAATTCTATGACGCCCAATTTTATATTTCCAGTTTCTTTTTCCAGGTTTACAAGTGTGGATTAATTTGATAGCAATCTGCAGTTATATGTCGCTATATAAAGCATTGTTGTTTAATTTGATTAGCCTTTTAGACTCCGCAGATTTTTAGCACGCTCTGCCCTCCTGGCTTAATCCCAAAAGCTACCCAGTTTAGGGCTATTTGGGTCTACAGAGAATGAGGACCATGATTTAAATGTGTTGTTCATGTTAGGGGTTGTGAGACTTGTCCTTACAACGCTGCCTCAGTGCAGATTGGTAAGGGTTCGCTGGTGTGTTCCGATTATAAGGAATTGAAACATGCCTTTCACCTTCCTTTTTCCGAATTGCGACTGGATTCATCAGATTGGTATAATTACTTGAGAATGGATCAAGATACGTATTTTGAACTATTATCTTTAGTAACTCTTGATGCAAAAACAGGACACGCAAATGCGGCAGGCTTTAACGGCACATGAAAGGCTAACTGCTACATTAAGATTTTTGGCAACGGGAAGGACCTATGAGGACTTATAATATTCAACAATAATTTCAGCTCATGCATTAGGTCGAATTATTTCGGAAACATGTGAAGCAATATGTCGTGTATTACAAAAGGAAGTAATGAAGTAAGTTGATTTGCAATGTACATTTTTTTTCATTAGAAAAAATAATCTTACCTATGTAAAATTCGTTTTTATTGAGATTTTCAATAAAGACAAAGAACTGAAAACACAAAAACTGGAACTAGAATCGGTACAGATCATACTAAAAATATTAATATTTCAAAAAATATATCTCTTACAAATTGCAGAAATCCGTATTATTAGAAAAATTCTTATAATATGTAGCAACGGAATTGGATTGTTGACCCATTGAACTCGATATCTGAATATTGACTTGTTATTGACTTTCACATTGAGGTAATGCAGACACAAGTGGCATATTTACCGAAAGAATAGAATTTTCATTGAGCCTTCCTAGTTCTGCATTGTAAAGTATATTATTAAACAACTTTTCTGCAAACATCCTTGTGTTGGTAGGGAATTTTCTCAATTTACAGGCTATATTCTTTCCTATTCGATCACTGTATGCTTTATTTTTAATCTGCCATAAACAGGGATAACTTCTGTATAACTCTATGAATTCCGTAATAAACTCTCTCGACATGCATCTTATATCACTCATGGTTTTTAATTAAGTGTTTGTTTTCTCATAAAATTATAAAATGCTTAATAATATGCAACATCCAACGAACAGTCGTACAGCACTGATTGAAAATGAAACATGCAGAGACTTGTTGCCCATACACTCTCATTCTTCCCCGCGCGATGATAATTGCACACGCTAAAAATGAAGACGATCCTGATTTTGAGAGGCATGGTTGCGCATTCTACATTTTTCGACATACACACACACTTTTAACCCGTGCCATGCACATTCAATCCTTCGCGCTTTCCTTCTGAGTGAGTGGGCACCTTTAGGCATTTACCGGAGATAACATTCTACTAACGAACTGCTTTACAACGGAAACGCTTCGTATAGGTATCCGGTCGCATGTAAAAAAGAAGCAACCAAACGTTGCCGCATTTAAAGCGTTTTACAATATATGTTACCGCGAATATGTTTTTTTTTTATTTTGTCATTATTTTTTTATTTGCAGAAACACAGCTACAAGGATGGATTCTTTCTCGTTTTTGTCTCCAAACCAGATACTTACGAATGCAGTCAGGAAAGCTCAGTTCTACCGAGACTGACAAGAACTGTTTCGATAGAGCAAATGGTTCGCACACATGTTAATTTCGTTATCAGAAATAGCATTACAGCAAATGATTACACTGTCGCTGTAGGTGCCACATTTTTAATATTAGTCGGAACTGGTGTCCTGGTGACCGTAGCTGCGCTTATCTTCCATCGGTATGGGACGATTGCGAGGAATAAATACGAAGGTAATGGTCTTATTTTTTTATTATAATGAAAGATGTTATAAATAAGATAAAGAAATAATGCTGTATCAAAGAAATTTCGTGATTTGATAAGGTTTGATATAGGAGAATGTAAAACCAAATATCCTAAGGTTTAAAGTTGATAAAACGATAAAACACTTTAAAATAAATAAATCACCTGATTGCGATGATCACAGTCGAACTTCTACAGAACATGGGTGAATCTGGTCTCCAATTAATGTGGAAACTGTGCAATCAATATGGAGAACCGGCAAAGGACCAATGATTAGTGTACTGCGTTACTAACTTCAGTTCATAAACAAGGTACAATTACAAAATGTAGTTGATGGATTCGACCGTTACTTGATGGAAATTCATTTTATCTAACAATAAAACAGTGAAAATTTTGTTTTCAACACTTCCACAAAATGTATTATAAAATATTATCACTACAGCTGTCTCGGCTGATTGCCTTTCTCAAGTGATCAATTTTTGGCATGACTATTTATGAAGTTAGTTTTTCTGTCAACATAAAACAGAATATTTCGTCTACCGGACATAAAGAAAGAAGGCGCCAACTATTTTTTGAAGAAAAATTAGTAAAAAAGCATCTGAAGGTTAAGGAATTAATAAATTAATAAAGAACTTAAAATAAAATGATTATTTAAATATAAATTAATAAAGATGTGACGTTTATAACATTACAAACTAAAAGAAGTGAAAAGGACTAATAGAAAAAACAATTCTGTACCCTCAATATTTCTCGGTGCATATCTATTTGTTTATTACTCTAATTATTGTTATTACTTTTTTGTAGATGTTATAGTAACGGACTATTTCGAAGCTTTGTCTGAAGAACAGATCAGCTCATTGCTGAAGTCCCTTAATCTAACTGTGTCCGAATTTTCAAGACACCCTAAGAGAATCAAAAAAAGGTCCTACAATTATTTGTATCATACGTTGAGTATTGCCATATTTTACAGCATACCTGTGGTTCAGCTAGTTTTCACCTATCAAAGGGTAAGTTTTCTAATTTTTTATTTGAATTTTTAACTTTTGTGTCCTCGGCTGATGCCTTCCTGAATAGAAGTGAAAAAAACGCTCAGCATTTATATGATTCTCTTAATAGAAACTCCTTCCATCTGGGTCTCCCCAGATGGAAGGACGGTGAATCAAATAGATCATGTTATGATTGAAAGTAAATATATGAATATCGTTCAGAAGGTAAGGAGTATGAGAGGAGCTGAAATCGACTCGAACTATTACCTCGTTAAAGTCACATGTGGGAGAAGAAAAACAGAAATCGAACTATAAAACGAAGAGAAAGTACAACATTGAAAACTTAAGGAAATAGAAAGAAAAAATAAATATGAAGAAGAAATAAATAAAATTCTACAACAATGTGACCAAAATTTACAGAAAGATCAAGCCTGGGAACAAATTAAATCTGCCGTAGGAGAAGCTAGCGAGAAAATAGTTAAGTGCGACTCCTAGAGACGTACAAACAAAGATTGGTTTGACGAAGAGTGACAACAAATATTAACAGATAATAGAGAGTTTAAAAAACAAGAATATAGAATAATTCGAGGAAGATTGAAAACTGTGTGTAGACGGAAAAAAAATACCACAATGAGTTAAAATTAAAAGAGAGAGAAGAGAAGTTTAAAAACAAAGATGTGAGGTCGTTCTATCAAGAAGTTAAAAAGATGGGAAAAGGTTACCAAAGCCACTGTAGTTATATGAAAGGTATAGACGGAAATTTAATTAATTTTAATTAAATTAAATAATTAAATTAATTTTAATTAAATTAAATAACTAAATAATTAATTTAAATAATGACGGAATGTAAAAAAGATTGTGAAGAATTATATGGTGAGGTGGACCACGAAGCAGTAGACAACTGGACGGTTGAAGAAGATGTGATAATTGAAAGGCAGCCTACAGAGAAGGTGGTGACAGCAATACAAGAAATGAAAAATAACAGAAGTCCTGGTAAAAATGACATATGCATAGAAATGATCAAGTTTGGTGAAGAACAACTACTAAGAAAAATATATCAGCTACTAGTGCAAGTATGGGAAAAGGAAATAATGCCATCGGAGTGGTATGAGGCCCGCATATTCCCTCTGTATAAAAAAGGAGACAAACTGAAGTGTGACAGCTATAGAGGTATAGCTTTACTAGACACGGTATACAAAATATTGCCAAAAATATTGAGAAATAAACTAAATTGCTACACGGAAAGAATCCTACATGAATATCAGGTCGGCTTTAGAAAAAACAGATCTACTGTAGACCAAATCTTCTCATTAAGGGAGATACAAACGACTTGTTATGAAGGTAAAGTTCCCCTGCATGTTTTGTTTGTGGATTTTAGACAAGCATATGAGAGAGTCGATATACCAAATATACCATATATATACGATAAAAGTATACCAAAGAAACTGATCCGACTAGTAAAAATGACATTAAATAACTCTAAGTGTGAAATTGCTTGGCAGGATCACATATCAGATCAATTTACGGTTGCAAAAGGCTTGAGACAGGGAGATACTTTATCCACTACATTATTCAACTTAGTGTTAGAAACTGTAATCAGAAAATGCAACATGAAGGTGGAAGAAACAATCATGAAAAATGAGCACCAGTGCTTGGCATTTGCTGACGATTTAACGATCCTAGCAAAAACCGAGAAAGAATTAAGAAGAGTTGTGAAGAAAATCATCGAAGAAGCACAGAAATTCGGATTGGAATTAAATGAAGACAAAACCAAATATATTATCATGAGAGGGACAGAAGAGAAAAAAGAAGACTTTAGTGTGAGGTCTGTAAGTGGTAAAAGCTATAGTTTTAAAAGGGTGGACAAATTTGAATACTTGGGTGTAGTTTTCGATGAAAATGAAGAAAAGAGAAATGGGAGCTCGAAGCCAGAATAGCAAAAGGGAATAAAAAATTAGTTAGTTTAAGAGCCCTACTGAACTCAAAATACGTTTCTAGACAAGGTAAACTCAGAATATATAAAACAGTAATTCGACCCACAGTAACATATGCCGGTGAGACATGGATATTAAATAAGAAGGAAGAGGATACTCTGGAAAGATGGGAAAGGAAAATATTGAGACGCATATTCGGAGGACGGAAGACAGAAGATGGTTGGGAGAGAAGAATCAACAATGAATTAATAGCTTTATACAAAGAACCTACCATTACCAAGTTCGTCAAGTCACAAAGAATCAGATGGTTGGGACATGTGGAAAGAATGGCAGCAAACAGAATGCCCAAACTAGTAATAACCAGAAAACTAATCGGCCCCAAAAGAAGAGGTAGACCCAGAACGAGGTGGATTAGTAAAGTGGAGGAAGACCTTAAACACGTGAAGGTGAGGGACTGGAAAAGAAAAGCACAAAATAGAAGCGAATGGAGAAATATTGTCCACCAGGTCCTTCAGAGTAGTTAAGAATGTTGTATATACATATTTAAGTTAAAGTTTTGTTTAAAATAATTGTAATTAGTTAATATTAGGATTATGTGTAAAAAATGCCCTAGGCCTTAACGGCCTGTTGTGCGTAAAAATAAAAATAAAAAAATAATAGATGCTTATGTTAAATGTTGCATAACTTCTAGAAAATAAATTTTCAAGAATTCGGTCAATCATCAGCGATAAACTATGGATCTCTCTGTACACATTCCTGCATTATTACCCTACTAGTCGGTTGTTTATGATATGACGTTTAATTCTTTATGCTCTACTTTAATAGCTTTATTACTTTCTTTTAGTTTTTTTCAATTTTTTTTACCTTCACTGTATAATTAATCTTTGTTGTAATTTATAATGTCATCGCATTTTCGTTTGGTTTCGATTTCCGATATGGTAGCAGAAAGAGTTTCTTTAAAATAATCGTGGCCACGTGCAGACAAGTCTCATGGCGGCCCAAAACATGTGTCTCAAGGAGGTCCATAATACATTATAATAATAAATATACCTAATAATAAATAATTATAATATAAATAAATATAATAATAAATATAATAATAAAAGGTCTTCTTGGTCAATTAAAACAATAACATATGGAATATTTTATAACTTTAAAGTATTTAATATTAACAAACTTACCTCTTTCTGTAAAAGACTGTCTAGAAGTGAATGTCATTTCTAGTACGTAATTTTAAAATTGCTGCGACTGTCTCATGAGGTATCAGTCTCAATGTGACCCACTCTTTCATATTCTTCACTAAATTCGTTACATGAATGACTATTGTAGATACATTTTATAAAGTTTATTTTAATATTTCAGATTGTTAACCGTACTGGAGACGAAGATATGTGTTACTATAACTTCCTATGCGCACATCCAGCCTTTCGTTTCAGCGACTTCAACCATATTTTCTCCAACATCGGCTACGTTATTTTCGGCATTATTTTCATTTGCGTAGTTGCTGATAGGCATAGAATAATTAAAATGAGAAAGGTAAGTGAAATTGTTTTATACTATTTATAAAATTATCGTATTACTTAACATTTCTTTTCTATTATTGCTTACGAACAAAAGCGTACGAATACAGTGACGAAGCTGCACTACTCGTTACAAATTGGGTATTAGGCCAACGATGATGTTATTGTAATATTGCTGGATCTTCAAGGTTAAGTTAAACTGTTGTGAAAATTGTATGAAACAAGACACGCATGGTATCAATACGTGTGCTTTAGTTTCAAATTGCCCTAATAAAGTTTGATAAATAACTATTTTTAATTATTAAAGTATTCTTATGCCGTTTTATTAAGCTAGGATAAGTTTCACATCACAATAGCCTTCTTCTCTGATAAATCGCCCTTTTTATACAGCGGGTATATTATTTTCTTTAGCCACATCCTTTAGTATCAATTCGTTCTGCTATATAAGTACTATTAGTTTATAGATTACTATAAAAAGTTTATCATCACCTTGGATGGCATTTGAAACTTTTTCTTTTGTTGGTGCTTGATTGTGTAGTTGCTAATGTAGATTTAGTTGAGTTTATATATTATACCATTTCCCATTATCATTATTAGTGCCATCATCGTTCGTTATGAGAACGCCTTCTTCAGAACAATCCTCTAATCATCCCTGTATCTGGCAACTCTTCTCCTTGGTCTAACTCCAATAGATTTTAGATCGTCCTCTAAGCTGTCTTGACACCTATGTCCCTGTCTTGTTTTTCGTACCTGTCTTTTTTACTCCATGTGTTGTATTTGATCTTTATTAAATCTTCTTTCTTTAACCGTACCTTAACCAAATAGTTATCACTATCTATGTTTGTTCCTCTGAAAGTCCTAAATTCTAAAATGTTAAATCAGTGTTTTGCATCGATGACTAGATGATTTATGTATTTGGTTAATTGTTTCATTACCAGGAGATTTCCAAAATCCCTTATGTATGTCATTGTGTGGAAATCGTGTCCCATCTATTACAGTACTTAATCATAGAAAAGTTTATGAGTCTTAGTCCGTTGTCATTTGATACTGCGTGTAGGCTCTTTTTACTGATGGTGGAAAAGATATTCTCTCTTCTCAATTTGGCGTTAAGGTCTTCTAAATTTTTGGGCACGTATCGTACTCTTGTCCCAGTGCCTTATGAAATATATTTTTTTCGTCGTCCTTTTTTTTTCGGTTGGTGTAGATATTTGTAATTCTAAGATTAGCAAACTTGCCTTTAAGTCACATTCGACATATTCTGTGATCAATAACCTTTAAAGTCAATTACGCAATGTTTATTCCTGCTGCTTTCAATAAATCTGGTACCAAATTCGGGGTAGGTATGGTTGTAGTAAATGTTGCATTTATGTTTTTCCATGGTTCCTGAGCCAGTCCAGCTCATCTTCTGTAAAACAATGATGTCTGCTTTGACTTTATGCATATCTTGTATATACAGATTTTTAGCTTCAGGATACATTTCACGTACAAATTTGCAAACCATTGCCCTGATTTCGTTTAAGAGTTCTTCATTAGTTCTGACTCATCTTCTGACTTCAAACAGTCTGACTTCTTTCTTTGTAGATTGTTTTATAACATGGGAGTTTTACAGGGTTGGATAGTTAGTCCAACGCCAAACCTCCTTTTCGGGAGACCTATTCACCCACTGTCGTCAGTTCCCGCCTCAACTTTTCATTAGGGTTGTTGGTGAAAGATGAGTAAACTTGAATCAATTCCATGTTTTCTCATTCTACCTCTTTACCCCTTTCTCTATCATGCGCTTTTTGCGCATAGAATGTGATGCTAAATTATAATTTTTTATTAATAATTTTCATTTTAAAAATAATAGTAAACCAGTCTGTATTTTAGGAAAAAGGGATACCAGTACATTATGGAATATTTCATGCTATGGGTGTTGCTTTAATTATTGAAGGATTGTTGTCAGCATGTTACCATATTTGTCCGAGTCAGTCCAACTATCAATTTGGTAAGTTGCACTAATTCACATACAAGCATAGCAAAAAACTAACTAGAATCAATAAAAATAACGTGGGTTGGAATTTTAGCCACTTTCAGAGGCTGACAGATACATAATCTTACTTATCGTTTACATGATTTATTAATAAAAATTTAAATAAAACCTGTAGACTTTAATAGTGACAACGATAATATTATCAATTTCACGTAATCAAATTTATGATTTACAAAATGATAAATGCCAAGATAAAGCTGATTATAAAATAGAATATGCTGTTAAAATATTTCAAAATACATGTCATCCAAAAAAATGTTGAACTGGTTACTTTAATAAAAGTGAGAAGTCTTTTTTTTCTTTATTTCCATTTCTTTGTTTAGCATTCATCATTTTTTTGAAATGACCATCATTTTGATTTTCCTAATCTCAATACGTAAACTCTATCTGATGTTATTGACAAGAATACCATTTATAGCTATTCCCTCTGACTCAGCTTCCGATGCACCACGGAAAATATTTTCAGAGTATAAAATAAATAGCATTGGCGAAAGAATGCGTCTGTGTCGTATACCCTTCTGAATACTTATTTCCTCTGACAATGACCTTTTAGTTTGACCTGAGTATAATCTTGATATTATTGGACGTAGATGCTTATACACATTCATACATAGATGATATGTATGATATATGTCATACATACCATCACGATATCAAAAACCAAATAGAATAGTATTAAATCAAATACCACATACATACTATGAAAAGATATTTACTCACTAAAAGATTCTTAATCTTCTACTTACAAAAATAAAAATAAAACTAAAGAGTTAAGTCTGCTAGAGCCTTTATGTTTAGTTTTTTCAAAGTATTTGAGTAGTTTTTTTCTTGATACTGAAGAAACAACTATCCAAATTTGATACATAAATATCCATTTATATATTTTACAGATACAAGTTTTATGTATATCATGGCAGTTTTATGCATGGTAAAGTTATACCAGAATCGTCACCCAGATATTAACGCCACTGCGTACACAACATTTACTGTTTTGGGATGTGCCATATTTATGGGTAAGTTTAATTTCACATGTTTTCCAAATAAGTACAATAAATTCTATTTTTTAATAATTTTCTATATACAGTAGGGGACAAAATTGTGGAATAAGTTCATTGTTTTTAAATAGATAATTTTGAAGCCCCCAATTTTGTCTACTATTGAAACAATCGAAGAAGTTTATAAATAAATGTTTAGAACTGCTGTTCTAGTAGTAGAAGATTTAACGATTAATTTTAAAGAATTTTAAAGATATTTTAACAAATTATTTTTGGTAAAAAGTTATTGTAGACAATGATTTGTGAAAAATCTATAATATAAAAACGTTTATACAATGGAATTAGTTAAATAAGTACATATTTATCCGCCCAAACGACTATTTTGTAAGCAGTTTTTAGAAAGAACCTTTAGAGTAAAACATATTTTTGTATTTTTGTAGCTATGATTGGAATTTTGAACGGAAACTTAGCCATCTGGATCATCTTCGTAGTATGTTACACGTTACTCTGCTTATTTTTGTCATTAAAAATTTATTTCCTGAACTACGTCGTCGATGGTTTAAACCAGTTCAGAAATTCCATCACCAAGAAGGGTTTTACTCAACATGCATTGAAACCTATAAGGAAAGGTAAGCACTATCATAATAAACTATATTTCCTTCATTTTAATGGTTGTGTTTAAATTTTTTAGCTAGATTTATAATACTGCTGATAGCAAACATAGCGAATTATTCAATGTTGATTGTTGGGCTCTTGTTGTATAGCGACAACGTCACTGACTTTGGAACTTTCTTGTTAGCGCTATTGATGGGTAACAGCGTCATTCATTGCGTGTTTTATACGTGTATGAAGGTAAGTTGGTTTAATTATTATCTATACTAACAATTAGTATTGATGGTAACGAAAATAAAAGAAAATATGAGTAAATGTAAGGATCACAAGATACCGTAATTCCCAGTAAGTCCTAGCGTTAACTTGGTGAAACTACAGCTTTTCCAAGCTTGTGATTGCAAGTGATTCCAAGTTTTTTCAATAAAAGCTCCAAAGCGTACAAAAACGAATATCCTTAAAAATGATAAAGGGGATATTATTACTGATATAAAGGAAAGATTATGTCACTGGACCAATTACATTCAACAACTATTTAATGATGAAAGAGAAGAACTGTCATTAGAAATCACCGAGGATACCGGACCACCAATATTAAGAGAAGAAGTCACCTATGGATCTATGCCATCAAAAACACAACACAGGGTAAAGCTACTGGACCAGATGAGGTGCCCATCGAATTATTAAAACTCATCGATGAAGATGTTATTGATGTAATGGTTGAACTCTTTAATCAAATATATCAGACTGCCACAATCCCCAGACAATGGCTGCAATCAACCTTTGTAGCAATTCCCAAAAAACCAAGTTCAACAACTTGCTCAGACCACAGAACAATAGCTTTAATGAGTCACACACTTAAAACATTTTTGAAAATAATTCACAGCAGAATTGTTAAAACTCTTGAATATGAGATTAGTGACACACAATTTGGCTTTAGAAATGGTATGAGTACAAGAGATGCTTTGTTCGGCTTGAATGTGCTGGCTCAGAGATGCTTGTACATAAATCAGGATATGTACTTATGTTTTGTAGACTTTAAAAAGGCATTTGATAAAGTTCAACATAAAAAGCTTGTAGATATATTAAAAAGCAAAATATTGACAGTCGTGATCTGAAAATTATATCTAATTTATATTGGAATCAAACTGCCAAGGTAAGAGTTGACAGCCAGTACAACGAAAATATCAAAATACAGAGAGGAGTCCGCCAGGGTTGCGTGCTGTCCCCACTACTTTTCAATGTCTACAGTGAAGCGGTATTTCAAGAAGCGCTCTCAGACTCAATAGAAGGTATATCTATCAATGGAAAAGTTTTGAATAACTTACGTTTTGCAGACGATACAGTAATAATTACGGATAACAACAATGATTTACAGAACGTAATGCAACGCCTTAATGAACGCTGTCGTGAGTACAGACTGAAGATAAATTTAAAGAAAACTAAATGCATGATCATGACTAAATCTGCACATGCAAATATCCAATTGACTATTGAAGATACTGCAATTGAGAGTGTTAATAACTATAAATACTTAGGAACATGGATAACATCAGATGTAGACCAAACCAAAGAAATTAAGACACATATTGAAATAGCACGTACATCATTTATTAAACTTGATCAAAGTTTCTTTGTTGTCGGGATATAAGGTTAGAACTACGCCTGAGAATGCTTCGATGTTACGTGTTCTCTACTCTTCTTTATGGTTTGGAAGCTTGGACACTAAAACAAGTTCATCTGAATAAGTTGGCCGCCTTTGAATTTTGGTGTTACAGAAGAATCCTACGAATATCATGGATTCAAAGAATGTCAAACATGGAAGTAACTAGAAGGATAGGAAATTAGGCGGAAATAATATTAACTATTAAAAGACGAAAACTTGAGTACTTGGGACATGTGATGAGAGGGCAAAAAATACGCATTATTACAACTTATTATGCAGGGCAAAATCCGAGGAAAGCGAAATGTGGGAAAGACGAGGAATATCCTGGCTTAAGAACTTAAGGGAATGGTTTGAATGCAGTAGTGCAGAACTTTTTAGAGCGGCAGTCAACAGAGTTCCTTCGATTAAGAAGATGGATATAATTTCAAATAATGCTATTGACTCTAAAAACGTCTGTTTCGAATTGTAGCGATATGGATAAACATTTCTAAAAAATTTAATTTTGTCTGTCTTAAAAGTTAGATCTGATAGATGAAAATTAAAGTATTTTTAGATTTTTGGAATCAGCTTGTTAGAAATTATTTTTTTATCATTGAACGAATTTGATTACCTTTTCACTAACCTACTATCTTTAATTTTAGCTGATAAGTAAAGAAAAAATTTGTTATGAAGCAATTCTCTATGGGGTTCTCGCAATAGTGTGTTGGGGTTCATCAAGCGTATTTTTCTTAGATGCAGCAACTTTGTGGACGGTAAGTAAAGTTTAAATATAAATTTTAATCTTAACCTGTCAAACTGACTGTTATTTATTCAGTCTGCGCAGTGTGGTGGATAAATGAGTCCACTGGTTCAGTAAATAATTAAATAAGAACCGTAAGTCAACTGGAATGCAAGATCTGTCGAAAACATCAAAACTTTCTTCTCTTAATTGTATTTACTGATTCTTTTCCTTTTGTCATTCTTCTCGACATCTTAGCATTTGTTATTCTGTCCGCTCAGTTTGTCTACAGGTAAAATACTTCTAGCCGATCACATTCCACAAAGTAACAGTAAAAATGCAAATGTGCGCAATATTATCACGTATTTACAAGCTAAATATTGCTCTAGCTTGTCCGATTTGTATCTTTATTTTTTCTGAATCTTTACCAACGAAATTCTTGAATCGATGAATTATCTGGAAACGAAAAGGAATTAGCTGGGTTAGAGGTGGACGGATCGATAAACACTTGATCTGGTAAGAAACGGGAAGTGAGCAATCAACACTTAGTCACGGTACGGATCGGTCTCGGTAGAGTTCTCACCAGATTGGTACTCTTGCGGAACTGTCTTCTCTCTTGTGACGTACGTTGTTTTATACCGTTTATCTCCATCGCTCAGCGATGGAAGTGGAACTTAGTGGTAAGCGTGCATGCTTACAGAGCAGAGGTATTCCTGGCGATGCACATCCTTACATATTTAATAATGTGAAATCCCAGAGGACTGGTCGAGGTCTGAATTTATAACTTTAGCAAAAAACAAAGTCTGAAACACTGCAGCGACTATAAACTTAATGATAACTTGAGTATGAGTCATACTCTGAAGTAATTCGTACATATTCCACAGTAGAACAAGGAATAAGTGTGTGGAAGATCAAAATGAATCGCAGTTTGGATTTAGAGATGGATTGGGAACAACAGCGCTTTTGGCACTGAATTTTTAGCTACAGAAATGTCGAGATCAACTTAAAAATGTCTTTGCCGTTTTTATTGATTATGAAAAGGCATTCGATATAGTATCTTCTTCTTCAAGTGCCATCTTCGTTCCGAAGGTTGGCGATCATCAGGGCTATACGTATTTTCGAAACTGCTGAGCGAAGCAATTCGTTGTTGCTACAGCTATACCATTTCCGTAGATTCTTTAGCCAGGAGTTTCGTCTTCTTCCTATGGACCTTTTTCCTGCTATTTTCGCTTGCATAATTATTCAAAGCAGTTCATATCTTTCGCCTCTTGTAATGTGTCCCAAGTATTGCAGTTTTCGTTTTTTGATCGTAAATATGACTTCCTTTTCTTTATTCATTCCTCTCAAGACCTCGACATTTGTGACTCTCGGTCCATGATATTCTCAGGATTCTACGATACATCCACAGTTCAATTGCCTCTACTTTTTTGGTATCAATATTTTTCGACGTCCATGACTCCATTCCGTAGAACAGCACAGAAAGTACGTAACATCTCATCAGGCGAAGCTTCATTTAAGGCTCAAATCTCTTCCGCAGAACACTCTCTCCATTTTAGTGAATATGGATCTGGCTTTTTCTATTCTTATTTTGATTTCTGCTTGTCGTTGTCTTATCGTTATCGTTGTCTTCATTTATAAAAGTGCCTAAATATTTGTATTTGCTAACTCGATCGATAATTTCATTGTGTAAATATAAATTTTGGACATTTTGTGTTAATTTCGATATTACTATAAATTTAGTTTTCTTTATGTTCAAAGATAGTCCATATATTTCGCTGCAGTCTGCTATCTTATTCACCAATGTCTGTAGCTCTTCAAGTGTTTCTGAGATCAGAACGGTGTCATCGGCAAATCTCAGATTGTTTAATCTAACACCATTTATTTTAATACCTACGGATTGTTTAGAGAGTGTTCTATTCATTGCGTCTTCGGAATGGAGATTAAACAGGGTTGGTGACAGTATACAACCTTGTCTCACACCTCGCTTTATTTCAATTTCTTCAGTGGTATTATTCTCTACTCTCACTACTGCTTTCTGATTGTAGTACATATTTGCTATTAGTCGGATGTCTTGTCTATAGTATATCATCACAATCTAATTAAACTATTAAGAGATAAAGGAGTTAATAGCCGCCACGCCCGGATTATTCTATTCACAAATTATATTGATGTTAAACAACCCTGCCAGACTCCCTTTGTACAACTTGTAATATGGTGTTCAAGTTGATAGAAAACTGATAAATACATTCACATACGCAGATAACACAATAATATTGAGCGATGAATTTTTTTACTCCACAATAATGGTTTATAATGGTTTTTTCAGTTGTTTTTTTTGTACCTGTTTAAACCAGTTTTTTTTTCTTTTTAAAGTAATAACCTTTAAAAAAGTGGAGAACAATTTAAGAAAATAACGTTGGAGGTTCGACGTCTTCAGGAATGTCATACTGGGGATTATATCTGCGAAACCATAAAGGAGCTCCTGGAACAATTCGATATTCATCTGGCTAGAGTTGTTGGCACCTGCACGAATGGTGAAGTGAACATGGTGGTTGAAATGAAGAAGTTGTTCGAATTTGGCAATAAACTGCATTGTTTTATACACATACTAAATTCAGTTGTTACCGATGGCCTACAGAATGCTAACAATGCGATATTTAAACATTTAGTCTAATAAGTCTTATAGAAAACGTTTGGTACCAAAACTTATCCATACTAACTAGATGGAATTCCGTCTACTATATGCTCCAATGGTTCGCACTAATGTCCCCTTACATTGCTGAAATATTTGCAGATCAAAACAGAATTACTCAATGAAATTGTAAGCATTTTATTAAAGGAGATCTCAGGATCCCAGTACATTACTGCTAGCCTTGTGCCAACTATCAAAATTTCATTAAAAAATCTCTCCAAAAAATAGTGCAGCCTAAAGACTATGCCAAAAAATTGTAACTAGCCTTCAAGAAAGGGAGGCACCAAAATTTTAAAAAAATCCTCTACTATGCCATGTGATTCCAAGGTTAAAAAGATTAAAATGAGAAAAGGCAGCAAATATTTGATTTCACGCAAACAAATCCTATGTATCTCTTGATACGTATTTCGACCTAATAGGTCTCGTCAGAAGAGCTATTCATAGGGTTTCTCAACGTGAAAAATCAATATTTTCTGCCTTTTAAGAAGCAACAATAACATGGCTTCGATACGGACGCAGTAGCGACATCTAATTAAACAATCGTAAAATAGTTTTCGAAACACTGCGTCCTTATCGAAGCCATGTTATTGTTGCTTCTTAAAAGGCAGAAAATATTGATTTTTCACGTTGAGAAACCCTATGAATAGCTCTTCTAACGAGACCTATTAGGTCGAAATACGTATCAAGAGATACATAGGATTTGTTTGCGTGAAATCAAATATTTGCTGCCTTTTCTCATTTTATTCGGATTTACTCTGTGGGAGTACAAGAAACACAATTCGCTAAGGATTTCTGCTTAGTTGTAAAAGACATGTCGTGGAATGCAAATTTTAGATTCCCCATGTCTCTTTTAACATCTTTTATCAACGTCTGTTTGCCTTGCAATTCTTAGAAGGCTCAGATTATAAAGCAGAAATTTGAATTGTGTTTCGAAAACTATTTTACGATTGGTTAAAAAGATTATTTATGTATTAGTTGATAGCGGATAAAACCACATCCAATTTAGGCGCCAAAGTCAGGAAGTATCTTGCCGATATTGAATAACTTTCTCCTTCCTGCTCTTTCCGTACTAAAAAGAGGATTGAAAATCAACCCCTTTTTGGTCATCACATGACCCGAAGCTGGTAAACAGTGGCTCTAGTTCAGGTTCTCTGGAAGTACAGATTCAAAGTTCTTTAGAAAATGAAGTCACTCTCTACCTACAACAGCCTTTGCTGTCTAAATTGGGTAAACCATTTTTATTCTGGTAGCAAAGCAGAACCTGTATGCCAGGTTTGGCTTGTATAGCCGCCAAAAAATAGAAATAACAAAAATAGACCAAGAGAACGTCTCAAAAACAGTGTGGCATAGAGCAGCGTCCAAAAGCCTGAAGAAACGAGGAATAATCTAGCTTTATTTGACAAAACTTTATTTTTTAGTACAAATCACACATTTTATTTTTATATTTTTAAATATTGCTTAATTTTTGTTTTAGGTCACACCAGCGGAATCTCGTCAATGGAACCAAGAATGTATAGCCCTCAAGTTTTTTGATAAACACGATATTTGGCACCTATTAAGTGCCCCAGCTCTCTATTTTACTTTTATGTATTTAATGTGTTTGGACGATGACATACTTGACGTAGAACAGAGGGACCTACACGTATTCTAGATTATGGTTTTAAATGTGCAGAAGAAAACTGTTCTAGACCAATAATAACTTGATATATTGGTATTTATAGGATTTAATAAATTAAAACAGAATTGAATTTTGACGTAAGGATGTTAAGATAGTGTGCCTTTATCGGTGCAGTTGGACTGATTTTGATTTATACCGATTTATTGGTGTAATTTATGATGATGTAATAACCAAAATTTATCAATCGGTCCACTCCAATCCTACCTGGATTTAGACCTTCTTGTATTTTCTACACTTATATCTTAGCTTTTTGCTAGTTGGTGCCAATGTGATCTTTCTTTATTGCGTTTCTGTGGTCTCCAATAAAATCCATTTTTCATTTTTCTGCAATACTATGTATAATACCCAATTCTATTTTACTTGTAACATTTTCCACAATGTTTCCCTTTCTTATCTCTTTATATGTACGTTCAGTCTTGAAGAAACTCCCAACAATGCTCGTTCTCGATGTATGAATCAATATATTCAACAAGGTTTTATATTTGAAACATTTGACAACCTTCTCTCTTTGTATATTTGATTCCTATATTGTTTTTTTACTAAACATATAACTTTAATGCAATGACTTCATACTAAAATGTATTATACCGTATTTGACAAGTGTACGTAGTGGAAGATCGTGTACAGATACAATATTCGTTATTTGGCTCTTTTTAAGACATGGAGATCGTATTGCAGGGACCTATATAAAGATGATCAACGCCAAGAGCTTGTTAGCCAAATCTCTGACGAGGTGGAAGAAGAACCTGATATACTCGAAAATGAAGTAAGACAGGCTATCAACAAGCTCAAATATAACAAAGCACCAGGTCCAGATATGATAACAGCAGAAATGCTTAAAGCCACAGAAGAAACAGGCGTAAAGTTACTTCATCTACTCTGTAACCAAATATGGCATTCCAAACAATGGCCTGAAGACTGGACAAAATCTACAATAACGAATTTACGAATTTACAATAACGAAAAAAGGCAGCTTCTATAAATGCGACAATTATAGAACTATCTCTCTTATATCCATGCCAGCAAGATAATGCTACATATAATCAATGAGAGACTGAAAACATTCCTTCAAAGAGAAATTCCACAAGAGCAAACTGGATTTACCAAAGGTAGAGGCACTCGAGAACACCTGCTGAATATAAGACAGATAATCGAGAAATCTAGGGAATTCAACATCCCACTATACATCTGTTTTATAGACTACCGTAAAGCGTTCGGCAGGGTCAAGTGGAGACACTTATGGCGAATACTAAAAGAAATAGGCGTACCACAACATCTAATTAAGCTTATAACTGAACCATATGAACACACTACTGGATCAGTTAAAGTACTTGACACACTTTCGAACGAGTTTCATCCAGAACGGGGTGTCAGACAAGGATGTATACCTACTATCTCCACAATTATTCAACATATATGGGAAGTATATTATGCGAAGAGCACTTGAAGGATGGGAAAAGGGCATCTCAATAAATGGTCATAAACTAAACAACCTACGTTTCGCAGATGACACAGCGCTTCTTGCAAATAGTCAAGCAGAGCTGATGGAACTTATACGACTGATCGAAAACGAAAGTCAAATATTTGGTCTGCAATTAAACATATCAAAGACAAAGATCATGATAGTGGATAGACTACACAACAATCATCCACACATAACCACAATTGACCGGTTCGAGGTTGTAAGCTCATACTTATATCTGGGATCATTAATCACAAAACACAGGGTCATTACAAGAAGAGATTAAACGTAGATGTGATCTAGCAAAAGTTGTCACAGCAAAAATGACCAAAATATGGAAGGACTGTCAAATTTCAAGAGCGATAAAGATGAGGTTGATCAACTGCTTAATATTCCCAATACTGACCTACGGATGTGAATCTTGGACTCTGAGACAACACGGAGGTGAAGCCATTAGTAGAGCTACGTAATAACTATAATTGACTATTTAAAGAAGTTGTTTACAGAAGGATACTAAATGGCGTTAGAATCAGTAATACCAGAAATAACTACAAATGATAACGTTCAGATAAATTCGTTGAAAACTCAAAAAATATATTTAAGCTGCAGGTAAAGATGAGATACCAAATGAACTGCTGAAATATTATGGATCAGCAACAACGGAACAACTTACAGCATTAATTATCAAAATTATAAAAGATACGAATTGATTAATACGCCTGATTGAACCAAGAGGGTGTTGATGGGAATAAGCTTGTTCACACATCGATGGTGGAAATAATTTTTGAGATGTTTCTTTATATAAATAAGTGAGCTTAGATTCAAAACTAGTTATAACCTTGTTGAAAAATTCGTCTTAATGCAGTTTGTGATGTGATGGAAAATTGACACATTAGCAAAACATAGACGTCTCATTCAATTTTTAAGAATTGTAACTATTTTAAACAATTCATACTGTTTAATGAATGGAAAGAAAAATCATTTATGCCTGAATAATCCATCGAAGTGTCTCTTAATTTGTACCATACACGGTATATTCTCTATTTAAGATTAGGGAGTCGTAGAAGTGAAAGAGAGGAGGTTGAAAAATGTCTATATCATTAAAATGAATCGACGTGTTTCTTATAATTAACGAATCTGAAATTTAAACATTTGCTTACATATTTAAAGATTACTTAGGTTATGTTATAAACATATATGAGCGAACAATGTAACATTGGTCATGTTTTTCAAAAAAATCCTTTGCTCTCATGTTAAAAAAGTTTATATGTACAAGGTGAAACTTGTAATGATGTGCCATATCATTGTTTTATAGATACCAAAGAAGTTACATCATGTTATTCATGTTTTTTAAAACAACCTGTAAATGATCAACTGTGATAACTTATTTAATAAAGATTTTTTTAATATTTGGTGTTATTATAGGGTTCTCTTGTGATTCTTGTGATTGGTACCAATGCAGATCGTTTGATTTGTTTAGAGCAGCAAGTTCTAAAATAAAAATAGCCATTATGATTGCCAACCTCCGTAGGGAGACGGCACTCTAAGAAGAAGATAGGGTTCTCTAATTTGTAACTGAATGTTATGATGAAGAAGGCACTAATGGAACAATATAGGAAATGTCCAACAATGTAGAAACTAAGATAAATTCGATAAGAATACGGCAAGAGCAGCTATGATCGACGGCACTGAGGAAAGAAGAACAACGAAAGCACATTGTAGAAATGAGAATACGCAGATGAATGAGAGAAGAGTGACAAAAATGATAAAAAACTGATGCAACTACTTCTTTTTCAAATTCCGTATCTCAAAGTATAACGTAACAAGAGATTCCGTAATAGATGCCTATCAGTTAAAAGTTGCTCCGGTTGACGTATCGTCAGATCATATTTTTCTTATTGGTAAATTTAGGTTGGCTAAACCAAAAATAATCAAATATAGTAATTGATAAATTCGACCGTTACTTGATGGAAATTGATTTTATGTAACAATAAAACACTGGAAACTTCCACAAAATTTTGTGGAAGTTTGAAAACAAAGTTTGCAGTGTTTTATTGTTACAAATCAAATATAATGTTGATGAATTAAAGTGTACTGAAGTCGTAAGAAACTTCCAAATATGCTTAGATCGTAAAATATCAGAACATCTCAGATATGAGGTATATCCCACTGAACTTAACACAAATTGGGAGTTTATGAAAACCACGCTCAAAGAGACCGCAGAGGAAGTGCTGGGTGAAGTACCCAAAGGACAGCGAAACAACTGGTTTGATGAGGAATGCCAACGAGTAACCAAAGAGAAGAACGACGTGTATCTGAAAATGATCAACAGAAGGACTAGGAGCAATGTTGAAGAATATCGAGTAAAGAGACGAGAGGAAAAACAAAAACACTTAATAAAGAGTTCGAAGAAATGGAAAACCTTAATAGAGAACACGAATACAGAAAATTATACAAACAGGTTAACACAAAAAGAAAAGTTTTCAAGCCACAACGAACCAAGACAAGGCCCTGAACGGAATTCTTTTAAACAAGAGAGTGGAAGTACTAGAAAGATAGCAGGAACATTTTAGTACGCTACTTAATGGATAAAGTAGAGCTGAAGGTAGATATGATATAGAAATAGAACAGGAGGATACTGAACTACCAACTTTGGAAGAAATAAACAAAGCAATTCAGTCTCTAGCCAGAAACAAGTCATCCGGAGCAGACAACTTACCCGCAGAAATATTTAAATGTGGCAGTCAAACATTTGTAACTCTCCTTCACAAACTAATAATACAGGTATAACAAGAACGCGCGTTACCAGAAGATTGGAATACTGGAATTATATGCCCCATACACAAAAAGGAAACGTTCTTGAATGTTCCAACTTTAGAGGGATTTCCCTTCTTAATACAGCATACAAAATGGTGTCCCTGATACTTAACGAACGACTGGCACGGTATACTGACAATATAATAGGATCCTACCAAAGAGGCTTGTTGAAAAACAAATCTACCATTGATCACATACCATCCATCAGACAAATATTAGAAAAAACGACGGAGTACAACATAGACTGCCATTACATCTTCGTAGACTTTAAGGCAGCGTACGATATTTATGACAGGTCCCAATTATATTCGGCGATGATCGAATTAGGGATACCAAAAGGTTTGGTAGAATTAATTAAAATGACAATGATGAAAGTCGAATGTAAAGTGCGCGTACAAGGGGATGTTTCAAAACCATTTAAAACCAAAGAGGACAGCACCAGGGAGATGCGCTATCGTGCAAGCTGTTCAACCTAGCGTTAGAAAAAGTTATGAGAGATTCGAGAATAAACTTAAAAGGTACGATATATACCCGTAGTATACAAATAATGACATACGCTGATGATATCGTCATAATTGGAAGAACCCAAAATGAAGCAGTGGAGGCTTTCACACGTATCTGTTGAGAATGTAATACATTTATATTGTATACACAGATATATTGGTGTAAGAGTAAGCGGAACGCACCCATAGTG